CATAACGCATAAGCATAAGGAAATTGATTGGTCCATTTCCTTATGCATTTGCTTATGCTTATATATAGACCAATCAATTTCTTTATGCTTATGCGTTATGCTTTATGTAAAAGCTTGTGCTCTCGGCTTCAGGCTTCTCTCTGATTGAAATATCTACTGCTCTATGCGCTAGTCGCGAATACCCCGTCTTACCAGAAATAACCAGAAATAGCAATTTTTCAATTCGTAGTTGGCGATTGGCGACAATGCATTTGCGACGCATTGTAAATTGGCCTTAAAATTTCGGATACAATGTAAATCGTCCGTAACTACACAAAACAAAGCTGAACAAAGCCAACTGAGTATACATATATCTATGCTGTGATTAGTTAAATTTGTCGTGTGAATCTCGTGCTTAACTGTATCAGTATTGCGTTGCATATGTATATCAGCAATTAAGATTTGATAAAACGCAGGAATATAAGTGATACCACTAATAATCGAAGATTGTGCTTGACTGAGTAATTTGTGAAAGCAACTTATTGACTTCTGATGATTAAATGCCGATCTCATGTTGCGGAAAATGTAAGCAAATATTTGTATATACTTGTGTATAATAAGTATTAATATATATATATATATATATATACGCAATATTGTAATGGAAATATTTTTCTTTACATCGCTATCTATTTGTTTGGGTTTTCTTTTAATTAATATGCTTTACTTCCACTCACTGCTATATACACTCGTCTGCAGCACATTTCATTTCTGTTGTATGCTAACAAAATGAATTGTATATTATCCAATTTGTTATTGTATGTCTAATAAAGATTTCATGGAATTTCAATAAAAAATAAACAAATAATATTATTTACATAAGAACTTAAAATCTTATAATTACAATCTAAAATTTTTTATTATTTTTAATGTAAGAAATATTTAAAGCATAATTATAGCATAATAATTTATGCATAATTTTTAAAATATTTTTTTTGTGTTACAGGAATAAGAAGAAAAATATCCTGCAATTCATAAAAAGTTTTCATAAAAAGATTTTCATAGTAATTTTCTTGCATTTATATTTTCACATATATATGCGTATATTTTACTTATACAATGTGTTTCTGTATACTGTTATTATATTCCTATATTGTATAAGTATATTACATATATATTAAACAAAGAATATAAATAGTCATGTTGGGAATTCCCATGTTGGGAAAAGAGATATTAGTTGACAAAATGGAAGATAGCAGCAGTAAAGATAACAATGTTATGAACTCAGAATCAAAACTAAATAGATTGTTCATAAATTGGACTTCATTGACTCCATTACATGAAAAGAGCTTCTTTTTAAAACATCGATTTGGTTCACCTAGATTGCTCAGTAAATCAGTTCCAAGAAGAAATAAAAGCTTATTTCAATACAAAATAAATAGATCTTTGAACTTTGATCTTGTTAGTTCAAGAAAGCATAGTTGGTCTAAATCACCAAATTCAAGTTTAGACGATGGAGATCATTCTTTTAATAAGGATAAATCATTACGAGATTTATCTAGATCAGCTAAAATAATGAGAGCACTTAGTTCTGATCACAATTTGTTGAGGCATAGAAATATGAGTATAAAAAGATCGTTGAATTTTGATTTAACTCCGAGTCCAGAGAAAAGCAATAGCATTGACAGCAATTCCCATATGGATTCAATCAATGTTACGTTATCAAGTTCGGCCACAAGTTCTTCCTTATTAGGTGAATTTATGAAACTAGAAACAAATTCATCTAATTCTACTGCGAATAGCGCGCTGGAATCAATGGATGAAAATCAGAATCAAACGCCTCAGCAGAACAGAAAAATGATCAAAATATCAAACAATAGAACTTCTGATGCAAAAGAAAATGTAAGTGAGTCAGAATCATCCTGTTCTACATCGTCGTTTCAAAGTCCCAAGGATAACATTGACAATATGCTATGCATGACACAAACACCTGATTTACAATGTTTGAAACGAGACAATAGATCAAGAGCATTCAACTGTGTTATCATTGCAAGTACACCCAGGAATTTATTCCAAGAATTTGATCAAAATGAAGATAATAGGCCATGTACACCTGAAAATATAATGCGTTTAATTCCACAGAGCATAAGTTCTATCAAGAAGAGCCATAAAAAGGTATACAATTCGTACAATACTATTTTTCTTGCTTTTTTTATTTTAAATTAATGAATCTATTGCTCAAATTTTGTAGATTTTAACTACCATTTTAGCAAAAATAAAAATGCATAGTTATTTGTTGAGTCTCAGAAATTGAGAATACATCAATGAACACTTCATTACCAAATTTTTTCATTAATTACACGCGCACATGATATATCTATACAGTATGTCTGAAAAATAATGGAAGATTAACACTATGTCAATTATTAATAGATAATGCTTACACAAGAAATTAAGAAAAAATTAATTTCATTATTTTTTAGACATTATGTATTCTTTTATAATTATATACAATCATATAAATTCTACAATAGTAAAATTAATTTGCAGCATTTTCCTTGTATAAATAAAAATCTTTAATTGATTGAAATATTAATATTAATAATTTTCGAACTATTAGTTATATATATTAAAAAAAGATCTTGGTGAATTAAAAATACAAACATTATTCATTGCATTGCAAGTTGGAAAATCGAGCATGATAGACTTGTAAAAATTTTTGTCAAAAGAAAATTAATTCCACATTTCATAAAAAGAAATAATTTATGTATCTATTTTTCACCAATTCTAAAGTATTGTAATTTATACATTTAAATTTTATTTTTAACAGGAGAAGCTGTATTGTCACGAGGAAGAATCTCTTACACGACAGATCAATGTTTCTGTAAGGAAGAAGTTTCATACAAACATACAGATAGAATCATTGGAAACAGATGTGTTTACAAATGCTAGTTGCAGTATTGCTTCTATAACAAAATCTCTGAAGAAAAACAAAAGTGTTAAAAAAACACTTATTTATGATTTGGATGATAAACTTGTTGACACTACATCAGGTTTTGATGATGATGCACAATGGAAGACTGCATCAAGGAAGAATGATTTACCAGAGGACAGATCAAACAAAACGGAAAGTGCCAAAGTAGGGGATATTGATTCAATCGATTGTGAAAAGTCCAAGGAAGATAGTGACAGTATACATTTTGGAAGTCACAACAGTGAAGAAGAAAATTGCTCTAACGAAAACTCTTGTGATAAGGAAGTACAGCAGCCATCTTTACAAGAAGACTCGGTAAACATTTGTAGAGTCAATGCGTCGAATGAGAATAGAGAAGTATCTACGAAATCTAACTCACCTGCTTCTCAAAGTTCTAATGGAGCAGCTACACCTGAAAACAGCTTTAACATTCTAGACCATGTGTTCACAGAATCAATTAAGAAATCACATAAGAAAATTAAACATGAAAATAGAAAAGCGTTATTCAAAACAAAATCTCTTCATGAAAAGATAGCAGCAGAACCTGAGACGACAGCTCAAGATACTTATAACAATGATCAATGTGAAGATATTAAAAATAAGACAATGGATACCTCAAGTTCGCCGAATTCTAATCGACCAAGCACACCTGAAAATATAAATTCAAGTAGACTTTTACTGCCTTTATTTAATTCAATTAAAAAGTCACACAAAAAAGATAAACTTGGCAAAAAGATCTATAGCTTTTCTAAAAGCTATAAATATGAAAATCTTACAAATACTAATAAAATCTCACGCAGGAACAAGTCACTTAGATTAAAAGAATCTCCTGACATCTTGGGATCCAACAAAAGAAAAAAGTCAAAAAGCATGTCTTTACTAAGCAATACATGCAAATCGCAATCTTTGGAATATAAAGATGCAAGTGATGAATATAAAGATGCAAGTGATGAATTTAAGATTTATACTCCTATTAAAAAAGTGCCATTATCTCTGTTCACTGTCACGAATTGTGCAGATGAAACTTCACAAGAATATCCTATCCAAACATCAAAGGAAATCAATTGTTCCAGATGTGTAACGCCAGTTATACATTATTCAGAAAAATTGAGAGAAAGCAATGATTTGATATCTAAAAAATGCGCTAATATTAAACAATTCGTGACTGATGAATGTGTTTTGAAGGATAAATCAGCAGACACTATAAATCTGAAGAATAAAAATGGCAGATCAAGTCCTTTACATAAGTCGACAACAGAACTGCTTGATAATGTAAACTCTATTAAAAAATCGCATAAGAAAGACAAACATGACCGCAGTGTACGTAGGAGACGAGTTTTAGGGAAGAAACAATCGTATACCAAGGAAAGTAGAAATGGAAATGTTGCAAGTAACGTAAAGGTATTGGAAGAGCATGCAAGTTTGCCATTCAAATCTTTGAATGTTGACAATCATTGCGCCGAGATGGAAATATATAGCAATATCCTTGATGAGAAGCAAAATAAAAGCTACAACGAAATTGTGCAGGGCAGTCCTCAACCATCTACAAGTCAAGCAAATGACAGTTTTGAAAATGCAACAAATATCGAACAATCAGAACTTCTAAGTACAACGCCTTCAAATGATGTAAACGCGATAAATTTCATCAAAGTGCTGCATACAACTTCCATTAAAAAGTCTCACAGAAAGGAACGTGACGATAACGCGCAAGCCAAGTACATTTTGATGAGCGAAGAGCATGAATTATCTGATGATGGATCGATATTCAATGAGGATGATAGACTGAACTTAACTGAAAGCTTTGGCTTATGTCAAGATAGTGACGATGAAATGATAAACTAGATTAGGTTGTAGATAGATTAGAATAAGATTTACTAGATGATATTGCTGAAATAAGAGAAAATGAATTATATAGAATATCGTTTTTTTTTAGGTGCAGATAAATTTTAATAAGGAATTTTCTTCAAACTATTTAATCGTTAACATTAAATATCGCAAAGCTAGTAAGCTTTGAATTAAACTTGTATTAAATATGAATTATATAAAGATAGAAATTATGTGAAGAACAAGATTTAGATTTTGCTCTCCAGCGGTTTATCATTCGTGAGAAACCTTTGCTCATAATGCAAAATCTGATATCTGATATGATGCAAAATCTTGATATCTTGTAGAAAATTTTCAAGTAAGCTAAATATAAATATTAATTATAATTAAAATTGTGATCATGGTCTGATGCTTTGTATATTCTGTTTACAGGTTTAGAAGGATATTGAACAAATAATTATAACATGTTTTTTAATTTACTATTCACATTTTAGAATTCTGTTTCATATGTTTAAATCATAAGTTAATCAAATGATAAGTGAACAAATATGTTGTAATAATTAAAGCTATAAAATTAAAGAAGGTAATGGATTTCTATATTTCAAGCAAATGATTTGAATTTAAGTAGTTGCAATATCATCTAGTGGATACAACCACAGTTAACAGCGATTATTTGTCGATTGTTTAAAACAGTGTCTTTCAAAGATATATTGAACTTATATACTTGATGACTGAGACACTAACAATATTCTAAGAACACACATAATGCTAATTTTGATAAGCATTGTACATTTAATATCAAACGTAGATCTAATATTTTCCTTGATTAATTTTCGACTGTTTTGTTTTTAGAATATTTTTACTTATGCAATTTAAATCTGTTACACTTGAATTTTAGAATAATCTGTAGATTTTATATTGCATTTCGTTACGTTTTCGTATATAATTTATAAGAGATACTGGTATTTTAAATTGCAATTCATTATTCAAACAATATGTGTATCAGATGTTATACTTGCATTTATCACTAACAAATTCATTTTAATACCAATCTCAATAGAACGTACGTTTACTTATATTCTAAGAATTACTTTTATTTTATTCGACTATAATGAAGATTTAGGTATTACTCTTTTTCTCTTTATCAAATATTAAATAAGTTTAAATAAAAACGATTAAGATAAAAAAAGTATTGTCAATAATTTCTTTTTATAAATTTTTGTAATATTGTATATAAAAATTAAAACAAAAATACATTTTTCTATTGATTAATATGAGTTTTAAAAATTTAACTTTCTATGTTTAATTGTAATGATTGATATAATACAAACAAACTATAATAATCTAAAAAATCTATGTAAAAAAATCTGTGAAATTGTTATTACATGTTAGATTTGCTAAATTGATAAGCTATAAGATAAGAAGCTTAAAATTCCAAACATTTTTTTCTTGCATAAATATATATGAAGAATCCCAGAAGAATAAATTAATACTTTAAAAATCATAACATATATCATCTAGCAAGAGTTTCAAATGTATTAAAAATATATTTCCTTCAAATCAGTTTCCAAAATAGAGCTGAATGTGTGATTGTTAAAGAAACAAAATTTCTGAATTTTTCATTTAAAAAGTATTTTTTGTATTTTAGATATTTGGACATACATTCTGTACTTACATTCGATATCTTTTGCAAATTTAATTGACAATTAAGATACACGCAATTTTGGTTTTGTTTCGGTTAAATAAATCCAGTCATTGGGACATTTACTTCATATATTTTTATATATAAATTAATATGTATTATACATTCTATTTTACTATTTAATATATGTTTACTTTTACTCAATTATAATTAATATTTCGTATTGTACATGTAATCTAACAATATTATATGAACATTAATGCTAATTTTTCCTATTGCTAATTTGCTCGTGTTGATTTAATAATTGCACATTATTTGCATTTAATAAGTGCATTATACAATTTAATTAAATATCTAATAACATTTATTTTTATAACGTTAAGTAATAAAAAAATTATTAAAATGTTTATACGCATTATTAATCGTAGCTATATAAACAAGCTGACAATTCGCATTAAACTATAAAAAAAGGTATTCTCACACATAAATGTTCAAATATTATTAAAACATATATGTTGCGCTATTAAAAACATAGCATAATGGAAAAATGAACATGCTTGTTATGAAGAAATATGATATGATGTATGATGGTTAATGGCTCTGGAGAATTTCTCCTCTTACGGCCATTAATGAGGAAATATATTAGCAATGTTGAAAACTGTCAAATAAAACGGTCAGACTCCATCTTATCCTATGAATAAATTGCATGTAGTTACGGAATGCATCGTTATATTTTAAAACGTATTTTCTAAGGGCTAAATAATATCATTTTTATTTCTAGAAAATAAATCTTTCTATTGGACCAATCTCGCATTTAAAAATCGTAATGTAAATTCTTCTTAAAGTGATTATTTCCAATCTAACATACTGTGGTATTCTGTGGCATAAACATCAATAAGCGCACGCGTAAAGACATACTTCTCGGGGGTGAGTCTGGGGTGAGTCTGGGGTGAGTCTACATAGGATGGAAGAAAATGTATATACGTAGCCGCGGACGATTGCACAGTGAGCATGATTTTAACGTGCTCGTCGACAAATCTGTTTACTGATGCGATTTCTCAGATTGTAATTTGAAAGATTGTAATTTGAAGAATAACGCCACGCTTACTCGTATCTGTTCCAGTTAAACGAGGTTAAATAATGTAACATCTCGATAGGGGTGAGTGTAAATATATTTATCTATATTCCGCCATAATTAACAATCCGTTTTATTTCTCGCAAAGTATATTTTGTATTACGTCAGCAGCTTAAAATATTCCTTAATAAATATAGTGAGAATAATGACCATTAACACGGATTGTGAATTTTTTTCACGAAGTCGATGATTGCACCAATTAATTTGTATTAAGCGAATATAGTGCAGTAATTTTATTTTATATTAATTCTTTATTTTTAAAGCTCAAATTATAGTCTTTTTTATAATATACAAAAAACAAGATTTATTTATTTAAACAAAAGCTTTAGATCATGCAACCGCTCCTTAGTAAGATCGAACAGCTGTTAAATAGCTCTGCGGTACCGTGACACATAAATCACTGATTAATAAGAAGTCAAAATTGACGTAATGTAACATCTCGTTACGGGTCCAGGTTTACAATTACGATGGACGTTCACGGCGCCGGAGTGGTTGCCGTTTTAGGCACTGTCGGAGCTGCTACTGGAGCAATCTCGGCTGTAATTGTCTATACTATTTGCGCACGTCGCCGACGATTACCGCTGCTTACTTCTGCCGGAGGACCGCTCAACTGGTACATATCTTCGTATTTCTTTCAATATACCTAAAATTTTCTCACTTATGTTAAATTTTGCAATGTACATGGTGTCCCATTAATCATGATACATGTGAAGGAAATTCCTTATAAATAAGTCAAAATTGTAAAATAAAGTTTTTAAACGACTTTGAATATCCATGGGAGACATCCTATGAGCTAAATATAATGTTAATTTGCTTATTTCAAAAATATATAACTATTCAAATTACTTTAGAGCATCGTAATGCTTAATAAAGCCCAAAATTAATTAAATAATAATAAAACTTTACAATTGAAATATTTAATATCAATAGTTTATACAAAATTCACAATTTGCAACAGTGCGTTTTGAAACAAGGGAATATAATAAAATAATAAGATAATATGGAAATATTTTATTTTGCTTTAATAACACTCTATAATAAAAATTAATATAACAAAAAACATTTTTGAAAATAATTTTAGAATAATTGTTGAAAAAGTAAAGTAAAACTTTTTTTAGGTTTGAAAGAGATTTGTTGGACAGAGCCGAAGAAGCAGCTAGATCATCGAAGGATGTTTTGGTTGGTGTTGCGCTTTCCCGAGATAACAAAATTATCAGGCATAGTAATAGTCATTCAGATGATGACGAATGGCAGTCCGATCATGTATTTGATAGTATTGCCAGTGATTCTCCTAGAAAAGGTAAGTGCACGCATATCTTAAGGATGTTATTGAGAACAGAATGGCTAAAGTTTTAAAAAATAAATTAATGCAATTTCTAAAAGTTCTCTCTTTTACTTTCTTTCTCTTTCTTTATGTTGTGTTGCCAATACATCTTACGTTGTATGTAATACTTAATAAATAAAACAAAAACAATTTTATAAGAATGTTCCAAAACTGAATTGAAAAGTATAGCATTTCGTATGAGAAAATGTAGTAAAAATATATAGATCTGTGTAATGTTTCTTAGACATATCTGGATTTTTTCTTTGCAGTTATACAACATCTGTCAGAATCAGATGACATTCCTCCATCACCTCTAAGTCCGCTTGCACCACCTCTTCCAGAAGGTGCGGTGGCTGCATCTGAAAAGCGCATGATAATTGTTCGACCATCACTGCGGAGTATAGACGGATCTCATTCCAGATTGAACAGTGTCGAAATCGAGTCAGCCCCACGACATAAGGTATGGAGTTTGTTGTAATCAAAATAAAAATAAAAGTTTTTTTTTTAATTCAAGCAGTATTATATATTGGATATAAAAACAAATATACATATTGAGTAATAATTAATTAAAAGTATGCAACGTGTATGCAAACTTGTTTTCATTGATTGGCGTTGTGATACGCTGAAATAAATTACAAGAAAGTAAATAGTTTAGAAAACACAAAAGTTATAATTGACGTATACTTTTAAATCCACTAATATAATAAAAGTTTTCGACGAAAATTGTATCATAACGTCACAAACCAGCGGGCATTCTTATATTTTTGAATTGCTTTTTATTTCGAATTCTTCGTCCTCCATTGTTTTTCACAAATGTAATTTTTTTTATAGAGCTCTTTTATAGAAAATAAAATAATTTTATTCCAAATAATAAAAAAAAACAAAAGGATTTATACGAATATATATTTTTACAGCTCTCATCATCTTCTTCTTCAACTTCAACGTCTGATGAAATTAGAGGTGAATTAAAATTAGGATTGATTTACGATTCTAACGCTGGAATACTCACCGTGAGACTTATCGAGGTAGTATTTGTAATTTCTTATATGTTATATCACACATCGTGTATTTGCATTACCGTTGTCAAATGTGTAAATTAAAACAATCATTTTTTTTCGTGCTTTAAAGGCACATGATCTTCGTGCTCGGGAATTGAGTGGTATTGCGGATCCTTATGCTAAGATACGTTTGCTGCCTGATCGAAGCAACGTATGGCAAACCACAATACACAGGCGTACTCTGAATCCTGGTAAAAATTCCATTTTTTTCCACTGTCTGTAAGATTATTGTGAAACGAAGCAATTCAATGAAACATTAAAATATCTTGTATGCTTGGTTCTATTTTTTAGTATTCGATGAAGACTTTGTTTTCGAAGTAACGCCTTCATCATCATTGGCTGGAAGAACGTTGGAAGTTCTGCTCTACGATTTCGATGCATTTACGAGGCACCGTGGTTTGGGTTACGTGCAGCTTCCCCTATCTTCTGTGCCAGATCTTGGAGCAAATTTAATCACTATTACAAAACCGGTTTTGCGATACGGAGTGGAAGGTGGTTTTAAAGCACCCCCTCTGGGAGAGTTGATGATTTCTGTTTCATATCAACCATCTATAGAAAAACTGACGATTATCGTTGTCAGGGCCCGAAATTTACCCGTTCTCGACGATCCCGCAAACGCGAATCCATATGTAAAGGTATGTATGCGCATAAAAGATTTTGATTTTGATTAAATTTATATATACATATATATTTGAATTGTACGCTAAAAAGCAGCATGAATTGAGTTCTTATTTTACATCTTAAATAAGCAGTAAATAATAATGAGATTATTTTCCATTTATAGCTTTCATAAAAATTTTCAGTATCTCCTCCATTATTAATTACTACTCTGTGTTGTTTAGGTATCACTTATCCAGGACGGCAAGAGTCTTAAGAAGAAAAAGTCGGGTATACAACGTGAAGCAACAAGTCCCGTGTGGAATGATATCCTTAGCTTTGATGTAAGCAACGACGTGTTACCAAAGTGCGTATTACAATTCTCTGTGTTGCGAGGTAACGACGATCTCTTAGCAAAATGCGAAGTATCCGACTCGTGCCAAAGAGAATTGTTTCAACGTATATTATCCGGGAAGGGCGCTTCGGCACAATGGTTACCGTTGTCAGAACCAGATCAGCAACGCGGTGATCACAGCGAATCGAAAGATTAAAGCATCGAAAGGAGAAAGATTATTAAAATATAAAATATATAATATATATAGAAATGTGTCGTTGACAGTATCGTAATTGCTTTGACAAATGGAACATAAATTGCTTTTAGAGAAAGATCATAAATCTAAAAAATGCAATCTCTTTTATTTTCGAATAGGATAAAATGGAGCAGACTGATAAATTCCAAGTATATGTTACTCGTATAGTACAAACCTTGCAAGTACATTGAAGCAATGTAATTGCAAAATTTTATACTGTAAAGGTATATATCTTTGGAAAACAATGCAAGTTGAATTATCATGTATTACCTGTACCTGTAACTGTACCTGTTTCGTAGTATTATTGTGGCATATAAAATGCGATTATAAATCTTATGTTAAGCTTGCTTGAATATCATATTTTTAGAAGATATACTTTTTAGAGAGAATTTCAAGTTAGCTATGTTTCTTTCTTTCGTAAGCACATTAAAATAAAAGCTTAGTCTACTTTTGATCATCATCAAAAATAGAAGCTTTCGATGTGCCAATGAAAAAAAGAGAACAAACTGTTGTCCCTTTTGTCTTTCCACTCGCTTATGCCAGGCTTATATTAAAAGACGTATTCTCGGTAAGAAATCTGACTTTGTATATAATGCAGTAGTACTCCCATGGCACGTGGAATTCATATTACAGTTATACACATGAGAATATAAATATTCTATTATATAAATTTGCAATGAATTAGGACAATTCAGGCATTGTATCTAAATAATCGTGCATTGTGACTGTTAGTAAGAAATCTGTAATTATATTTTTATGGATTAATTTATTGTATGTGCCATTATTTACTTTATAATTTTCACGTGTCAAACTTGATTTTCAATCATAATGCACAAATTTTATATTATACAAATCCTAAATTATGCATTACGACTCAAAACTGAGTTAAACTTTGTTTAACTCAAAGAGAATTTAAGATATAACACTAAAAGATTAATTTATATAATAAATTATTAATATATTGTTTTTTTATTAATTATGATGAATAAACAGCTAGATACACATCACGATTTGATGCAACCTACAAATTTAGTGGGATTACTACCAATCTACCGTCTAATGTAGTGTAAAAGCACAAATATGTAATCGAGTTAGATTACTAAATAAGTTCTAATAAACGTACAAGTTGACGTATGTGTGTAATGCAAATGTAATATATAGTAGGATGTGATTTACAAAAGAAAAATAGAGAAAGTAAATTCTCATTATTTGTGATCTCTTTTCTATGGTTAAAAAGAAAGTATATATCTTTTATCAAAATGTTTTATTGTTTATTGTACAATATAACTGTACATACATAAAAGGAATGGACCAACACGATTCTTGAATTTAGTCGAATAGACCTGTAATCAAATAGCACAAATGCAATTAAAATGCAATTAATTATATTTTTTAAATAGGATAATTTGTTCCATATTTCTTATTTTGAAATATTGTCATCATACATATATTCTGTAGCTAATATATGCTATATTTAATCACAGAATATTTTGTATGTGTTTTGATTATTTTGTGGCACCAAATTACACCACTTTATGTAACTTACCGAATCCCATGTCATCGTCTGATTCTTCCTCTGGTTCCTCCTTCTTCTTCTCCTCTTTAACTGGAGCAGCTTCGGCACTGGCAGGTGCTGCAGCAGCTGGAGCTTTAAAAATGCAAATATTATTTTCTACATGAAATAATTACCAACTGGAAAAAAATAGGCTTATTTCAAAATATAATGTTCAGTTATGCTAGATATAATTAAAATTGTCAAAAATTAAATCTTTTATGTATTGTTGCTAACAAAACATGGTTATATCTTTGTTGATAAAACCAGAAAATTTTTGTTCTCAGTTTTCTTTCTCCTCTTTTGCTGACCGAGCTAGTAACTTGAATAGTCTAAATCGGTGGATGAAGAGGATAAAAATTGCAATTTTTGCATTCAAAAATTAGAGAATATACTTCCAAGTTCTGTTTTAGAATGGTTAAATATCTATTTAATTCTGCTAATTTGCAGATCATAAAAATATTACAATTGTACTATAATTAAACTTTACAACATTAATAACTTGCTGATAAAATAATATACGTACCACCTGCTCCTGCGGGTGCAGCTCCAACACCAGATCCGATATTGGTAATCAATTCTTTAACATTTACACCTTCCAAAGCTTTGGCAAAGAGTCCAGGCCAGTAAGATTCAACGTTTACATTTGCTGCCTTCAGAACTGTCTGTATCTTCTCACCCTATAAAACAGAAATTTTGTAATGCAATTTACTCATACATCTACTATTCATTTTATATAAAATCCACTCCACATTCCAAGATATTTAAATTTTATTAATGGAATTTAATTTCTTAAATAGTTAATTTAATCTTTTTTGCAGTGACAAAATAAAATATGTTACTCCTGTAATACATAATAAAAATATTAGAAAGTAAATCACTTAAATTTATGATTTAGAATAACTTGCATTTGAGCTAATGAGTATGTAAATTTGTGAGGTTAAGGTATAAAATTTTCGTTTTAAGTGAAAAACTTTAATTAAAATGGAAACCTATAATATTAATAAATAGAATTGTAATATTTAAATAAGCATAAATAACGCATTTTTCGATAAAATAAAAAAAAAGTAAAAATGCACTGTGGTAAATCCACGTGATACAATACTTACAGTTACGGCGATATCGTCATCGACGAGAATTAGTGCGGAATAAACGCACGCGAGCTCGGCTTCGGTCGTCATTTTGCGTTTTTAGATTTCGTCGCTATGAATTGGATGCAACTTAAAATTGGTGCAAGTCGCCGATATGGCCTTAGCTCCACAAAAGAGAACAAGCAGCCAAGTTGCGTGACACGAACGGAAGAGCGAAGAGACCAAAAACGCTTTCCCCCGGCGGATATTACGTGTTATTAAGGACGCATGCGCGATAGATGTCGCACTTTGCGTCGATATGAATAAATATGAATAAGGGTGCAGTTCCATTGAGCACGGATCGGAATGACGGGTCGGATTTCTCATTAGAATTGAGTGTTCCGTTCACGTTCCGTTCCGTAAAAAATTTTCTCTACCAGTCCCATGTAGCAAAAACGGAACGGAATGTTGCCTCGATCGCAAGTAAATGTACTTAATTACGTTAATATTTCGTTATTTAAATGTGGCA